AGTAAAATGGTTTGGTTTAATACTTGTTAACTCTCCTTTACTCCTTCTTGACTACTAAGTTATCATTACGTCAAATCACGTATTTAAATTGATAACGTTGTTTACACAATACAAAGTAAGTACTACCCGGTCACCGTTAAAATGGAATTACAGATACAATTCTAAATGCGAATCAAGACGGTCGAACTGCAACGTAAGCCTCTTTTTGTGCCTCTACATTAAGGTAAATCGGTTCGACCGTATAAAATAATATTCCCGACGTTGGTAGTGAGGAGTGCCCCTGTCGGAGGTGACCTTACTTGACCAAGGTGTGTGTGGCACCGTAGTTCTCGACCACTAATGGATATCCTCCGTCCGTTACGTGGATATGGGAACAGGAACGCGGATTATTAAAATAATGATATTGTGGTCATTGTTAAAAAATGTCTGCTATTATTATGAGTAGTATTATTTGTATAAAGCGCTTTCTGCCTTCCTGTCATTAGGATTAGAAATGTAATGGCTATGTAATAGATTAGATTAGAACCTTCATTATCCTAAACTACTGGGACATTTCCCTAAAGCCAATACCTTTATATTGTCTACTCTTCACTTACTTGTCAGCATAGGTCGGCATTGATGTACAGAGCCGACAGAAGACCTTGTTTATATTGGCATCATATTGAGAGGTGCAGTGACGCGTCCTAAAACCAGGAAGTAAGCTGCTGGTTCCCTCGACAAAAAGCAATGGGATTTCTCCACAGGGTTTTGGAAAATAGCTGGAAATAAGGTCTGTGGAAAACAAACCTGTTTGATAAAAGCACGTTTTGTTCAGCCGGATAATCTCCACATGTCTACCTTACTTTTATAATTTTCGAATCATAAATCTAATCGATAGATTATTAAAGGGTTTTAGGACGCGTCACTGCACCACTAGAAGCCAACTTCATCGATCAAGCTGGCCGAAACTTTCTCTCGCTCTTCTTCTCATGCTCCCTGTCACTCTCCTTTAACTCCTCCGGTTACTTTCTTTTATTTGATGATTGTTTTTTGCCCGGCACTTGGCCGGTTACCGCTGGTATTAAATACATTTTGGCGAATGGTTAGGTGGCGCAATAGTCTGTAGTGAAGGAGCGCGCTCAAGGGAGCCTGCTCGCGCTCAGCGCCATATAGCTCGCGCTTTGCTTTTCACCCAACAACGACAACCGACTCACAAAACGCTATGTTGTAGCGTTGATAAACGAAACAATTTAACTAAATTGCTAGTCAAAATACCAATACCACAGGACCATTTTTTTTAAAGCAATATTTTTAGTGGCCCGAGCGGGCAAAGTACGTTATGCTGGCCCGGGGTGTCTAAATAGTGCTTCCGGGCCAGCGGGCCATTTAATGTCGAGCCCTTCCGGTTACCGGCCGGCCCTCATCGTCCGACCGGCCCACTTCAGTACCGGCCCATCGGGATTCGTCCCGAACGTCCCGATGGCCAGTCCGCCCCTGGTTTAAAGCAAGCATTTTAGATATTATTTAACCCTCCTGTTATCCTCAGATTTACTTTACACCCTTTATCCTCGGGGGTCAATTTGACCCCAGTAGTTTAAGACTCAAGAAAATTAAAATATTCCCAATGTTAACCAAAATGTATGTTTCTGGTGCTTTAGGTGTCTTTGTTGACTACTTAAATAACCATTTAAATACAACATTACCCTGACATACCCCCCCACAGACCCCTTCATACATCCAGAATTCCTATTATGAGACTATCGAAAAATGTATAAATAACCATAAATCTCACTTATTTAAATAAAATGTTAAAGTAAGATATTTTTGCTGTTGTTAAAGGACCAATATTATTTCCAAATACAATTTTGACATTTAAAAAAAGTATTGATATTATCAAGGACAGTTATATGTACTGTGTTTGGGGTCAACAAGCGAAATATTCCCCTTCCAGTGTCAGATACCAAAGGCTTTCTGTTGCTTCTCCTTTTGCACACTCCTTCGATAGATGAGCAACCCAATGTAGGCTTGCAAGTGGGTCCCATCCGACTCCTTGTAACTGTCCCCTTACACTACATATGTTTTTTTAATTAAAAGTTAACTTTCAATTTTTTTGTTCAATTCCGTTTAGAGAATTATACAGTGGAACACACTGAAAAGTTTCAACGCCATTTCTTACAAGTCGAGAGCATTAACATCTAATGTGTTATTTATTTTAACAAAAAAAAAGAGATGACAACCTCAGTATTCTTAATTGTAGTATTGATATGAACATATGTGTAACGTTTAAAACACATTTTAAAATATATATAAACCCATACTATCTATGTTTATCCAACATAGAGGACAATTTTAAAGCTGTTCAAGTAAGATAAGTTATAGTGTATACTTTGTTGTAAACATGGATGCATTGGGGTCAACATCACAGGAAGATAGGGCTAATTGTACTTACATAGGAATGTATCACAGACGTTGTTGCTGTATGTACAGTAAGATAATGGATGTATACTGTAAGTCTGCTTAGGAAAAAATGCTGAAAGAATTCGAACACCTGTTTGAAAAAAACAATTGTTACCTTTCATCAGGACAACAGTATGACTGTGGGCACAGACTCAAAATAGCTCTTTTGTTTTTTCAGGAATGTGAATGATCCTGCGTGTTTGATAAGATGCTGCTCAGCCGGGGAATGTAGATCATATCTGCAGACAGGAGTGTCCACTCCACACATTCCTGCATTCACAGATAAATCTGGGTTATTTTAAATGAGGAAAAAGAGTTTGCTGTTTCCGCGTCACACACATACGATAATGCTGTATATCCACTGAAGAATTTCAACATATTGTGTTTCCCTTCTCATATTCTGACACTCATGAATGAATAGGTTAGGTATGTTGATTCATGTAGGTCATAGGAGTGATTTTGTTACCATATCAAATTGTGGGAAACATTCTCATGGCAGTTCTGAGACTTGTTGTGAGTTTACATATACCATTGTTTACACTTTGAAACACCTCGTTCGTCTCAAAAAAGCTCTATAAAATGTAAATGTTTTGTATTATTTCAATCTGAATGTCACAAGTGAATGCAGCATATGTAAATATATACACATAAATATATGTGTCCATGTTAAGGCTTGTTCTTGTTATGTTTCTTACAGGTGTAAATCAAACATTTCCAATAAAGGTGCCGATGAGTCAGTATTCCCAGGATTAACTGACAGCAGAGAGCGAGTACGGACATGTAGCTCTGCGCTGTGACAGGACAGTTGATGGGGAGAGGCGTGGTGAAGCAACAGAGGCGGATCAAACGGGATGTTTTGAATTCTACCTCACCTGAGCTAAGACTGCGTAGGCCGTCTTGTTCATTCTCCCGCTGCTGTTCAGTAGCACAGAGGCACAGAGGGAAGATGAATCTCTACAGGAGCTTTGGAAACCTCATGGAGGCATGGGTAACCGAAGGAGCGCAGGTTTCGGACTCAGCATGGCTTGGAAATAATTATGAAGACCCTTCTATGCGTTCATCTGACGTGGGAACGAACATACGCACAGAATCTGTGGACTCTGGAGTGGAGACAGCCAGCTCTGTCACATCCTTACCTCCTACCCCTTCCTCTGTCTCAGCAGATCATACAGAAATAGACTCTTTTACACCTGAAAGAGAAAGGGACTCAACATCACAGTCTCCTATCCTCTCTTTTCCTGTGCCTCCCTCTTCTTCCTCTTCCTCCCCGCACCTCCGACCCAGCAGAGCCCAGGAGAGCTCCACAGCCTTGCAATTAAAAGTGGAGCAAGCAATAAAGAAGACTGACTCTAAATGTCTGCAGAACAACCCTAAAGACCTCCTCATAGCGGATGTGGTGCTCAGGCGGCGACCTGGAGCATCTTTTGTATCCAAACGGCCTACATCGGAGTTATTAAGAGGTCAAAGGTCGGAGAGTTTTAGGCACTTGAGGACAGCGAACTCAGCAGTGCCTATAAGGCAGTTTTCAGAATCATATAGACGGCCAAGGTCTGCGAGTTGTATAAAGCCGCCAGTTCAGACCAGAAGAGAGGTGAGATTCTGTTTATGGCACAAACTAAACTGTTTTAAAATGTCCAAGAATTATGTATTTATTTGCGAAGGGGGGAGCCAAATTTCAATTTCTGTTTCATGATTCTTCCTTGGGACTAGTTTCGGGGCAACATTAGTTTCACAGTAACATGTATGGTCTTGCAAAACACAGGCTTGTGAATGTTGAAGCAAAGTTCAAAAGAAAGTCCCAGAAGTGCTACAAGGCATCTACTTTTACAGTAGTTAAAGGGTGCCAACAAATCTGGTTGCTCTCAAATTTAAAAGTAGGATAGGCATGTCATTACTCACACACAGGATCTCTTTCATGCTCCTAACCTGTCACGAGCTCGTCAGCGGTGCGAGGGATCATAAACCAGTCTGCCCAGGTGACTTAAGCCCCAAAGGCACGAGAGGAATGGATGTGGTGCGGGGGAAGCTGAGCACTCTGGGGGGGTTTCCTGCATTATGTGACAGACATGTTGTCAACCAGATGAATGGACTTTTTAATTTTATTCTGACCAACAAAGTAAAAATACATTGAATCCACTCCTCTTCACAGTGCCATATTTTGAATACGTGATTAATTGTTTGGTTTTTATCTTATTAGGTTGTTAATGTTTTCCATTGCCTTGTATGAGGTATACCGTATAACCCTAACCCTAACCCTAAGGACTAGCCAATTATATAATTGTCTGTAATTAAATGCAATTATACTTCTAATATTCTCTTCAAAAGTTAATGTGACGTCAGGGAACACGCATAATAGATCATGAGAAACATTGTCAGTTCTAGATTTTCTGTGACACGCGCCGAGGATCGCATTGTTCATCTCAAAGTTGGTCATTAGGTTCATGGGAAGGTAAAAGTAAATGGCATTGCTCAAATCTCTATTCTGATATTATAAAGTTGAAACTGTTATACAATATCTATCGTCAGTACCATTTTGTTGGGTTAATTATCTCTAATTATGTTGTGTTGTGTTCTTTTCTAAACTAGGGAGTGATAAATAAAGTTATTACAATATATTATATTTGAATATATTTAGGGCTTGGACTGTTTGTCAGATAGAACATTCAACTTAGATTGTGATTGATATTTTTAATTCTGCAGATAATATTTGTGTTTTGGCACAATGGTGCTTTGAGCTCAATGCTAACTTAGGCATGCTAAAATGTTCACAACAACGATACCTTGTGGATGACAAAGCAATCGTTATAATGTTGAACCTCACCGTGCTAACAATTTCTATTGAGTACTTAGCCCACATTATTGCAATTTATCCTGGAGTGTTTGAAGAGCAACATTGAATAACAACTTGTGTACATTGCGTTGTCATTGCATTTAACGTAAAGCTTTTCCTGCTTGATGATGTGTACAGGACCTTGGTGCAGAGGAGAGGAACGAGCTGAGTCCTGGGCTCCTGTACTTGGAGCAGGTGTGCCAAATGTTAGAAGAGATTGCCAAACAGCAGATGCACAGCCGAGCGTTACAGATGGAGACGGATGCTCTGAGGGAGCATCAAGACCTGGAGGAGAGCCAGGTGAATACCTTAATGTATCAAATCTTAGCAAGGCAATTAAAAAGTTGTTACAGTTTGCATGGGTTATTAACATGTTATTGGCTTGTCAAGCTAGTGATAACATTATGTCTTCCTGCTGCCTGAGGGCTCACATGACTCAAAACCTGATACAAAAATGCCAATGCCTTGACTTTCTTTCAGGCTCTCGACGCTTGTCAGAGTGACTCTAAACCTTCCGAGGAGGATATGATTTCCTGTGAAACGCTTGAAATTCAAGAAAGTTCAGAGCAAATCTCCAGTGAACCTCAGCAGCGTAGAGACCATCCTTACAGACTTTTTCGGCAGAGATCGGCTTCAGAGACAAATATTTCATCAGTGCATTTAGGTGAGTCAGAGTGCACCATATCATCTACATTCACCTTTTCTTGTTTTGTTTCTTTCATGGATATATTCTTCCAGTCTTAAAAATATATTCGTTATTGTGTGTGTGATTGGTGCAGGAACGCAGAATGCAGACTGCAGAGGGCAGCATCGGAGTAAAGATGACCTGCTGGAAAAGGAAGAGGATGACCAGGAGATTCAGGTAGAAGACACTCGAATAAACACATAAATCCATCATTTGTACTTAAATACAGCTAAAGCAATAACATTATTCCATTTGCATTGTTATTGTGAGTTATATACAGTCTTTCTTCCTCATTATACTTTTACTTTTGTCAAAGCATATTTTATTGTGTCTTTACAGGAGTCTGAAAAACAAGAGACGCCTAAAACCAACAAGAACTGGAAGATGAAATTTGGCTCTTTCACAAGAGAGTCTTCCCTGAGAGATTTAAAGGGGTGAGACAGTGTATTTGTAGCTGTGACCTCAAGGGGGGCAGTGTTATTAATCTCATATGATGCATGATGCTCTGAGGAAATGTGTGTACTGTTCCAACATGGCAGCCTGCCACCCTGACGCAGTGGTCCGGAGCTAATGCACAGTAGATGCAGAGGGCTTTTTTGGGGGGAGTTCATTTTCAGCTTGTGCTTCTGTTCCTCCTGAACATTTGTGTCCCTCGCTCATGAAACCTAGTTTACATACTGCTTCCAGCTTTCTACAGTGGCCTGCTTTAGCTCTGTTGAATTCATTTTTTATCTGTGCAGCCAACAGATGCAGTCATCTGAGAGAAACTCCGCCCGACGACGGCTGAGCCAGCTGTTCAGGAGGAAGACTACGAAGGCTGTGACCGTGTAAACGGACCAGAGCGTCTGTGTGGATGTTTGGATATTTGGGTTTCAATTCTGAAGAGGAAGCTGTTACTTCAGAGGTCTGAGAAGTGACACTGCTTTCGAACTGACTTCATATTCAGCTATTTGGATCAAGAAATTGCCATATTTTATTTATTGTCGACTGTATTATATTTTTTATACTGATCAATAATGTTTCTTCTACTGTTGTTTCTCCGTTATTTGATAGCACTGCAAAATTTGACGTCCAAACATCAAACTTGTTTCTGTAATAAGCTAAAAGATTGGTGAACAACCAGTACTAATGCACTGTATAGTAATACACTTGAAAATAACTTTGAAATTGTCCTTCATTTTGACTTTGTGTTTTTCTGCAAATATCTAATGACATCTTATTAAATATGAAATCCCTGAAATGTCAGAAAAGGCCTTTTAGATTTCCAGATAAATGAGGGGACTGAATTAGGGAGTTTTGTGGAGCATCAAAGCCACGTTCATCTCAATTGCAAAAAAAGGGTGCGATTAAGAGATGGCCTTCATGGTTTTTGGTTACTTTGAAGGAGTCTTCACATACAATTTAAGCACCCCTAAAACCAGATTCATAGTTAACTCGTCTAAATTGAAAAAGGAAAGCCATAATCTGTTCTGTAGCTTGACAGATAAGGCCACACAGAGTTCCTTTTATCATTTATTTATCTCTAGGTTGGGGGGATAGACCTCCCTTGGCATGTAAAGAGATGTCAATGACAAACACGTCCAACCAAACAAGAGAGGGTGAATAGGATTCCAGTCCATACATAAAATACATTTATTGACTATTTATTGAACCATCAGCATCCATTAGTCCCACATAGCATCCATCTGTGCTATTAAATATATAGAGATAACATCTGTGGAGGGATTTATTTACTGAATGTGTGTGTGAGAGGGGAGTTGGCAGAACGGGAATAGCTTATAGACGAAAAAGAGTGGTAGTGGGGAGGGGGAGCGTCGAGTCCGAGTCATGCCTGCAGTGTCCCCCCTTGTCTACATGATGCCACAGGAGGACAAGGGGTTGGCGATCTGGCAGGTGCAGGCTGACTGGCAGTATTGGCGCACAGTCTGGTAGCAGCTGCGGTCGGCCTCCCCCCCCCACTGCACGGGCCCGTTGGGGTCGGAGGGCAAGCGGCTCAGGATGCTGGTGTTGATGGCCAGAGCAGCCAGGCCATAGTCAGTGAACAGCACCGTCTCGCGCCTGCACGTGGGGCAGGAGATGAACTTGTACTTGGGACAGGACTCGTAGAGGATCTGCAGGCACTCCTCACACACCGAGTGCAGGCAGGAGAGGATGCGCGGACGCTTTCCGGCGAAGTTGTAGGTGTGACCGCAGGTGGGGCAGTCCAGGGGCTCGCAGGGCATGACGGGCCCCGTGGAGGAGGACGAGGAGGTGGAGGAGGAGGTGGACGACGAGCGCAGCACGTACTGGTTGACGATGACGTCTTCCATCTTGTAGTGGAACTGGTGGTAGCAGATTTCGTTGGCACTCGTTTTGCGCTGCGCCAGGAAGCTCTGCTCCCTGCGGGTCACGGGCACAGAGGGGGATACCATGGCCCGGGGAGACCCTGTGATGTCCAGGGTCATGTCGCTGCAGGCCTGGTTGACGATGATCTCTCCTTCACCTCCGCCGTCCCACGCCACTCTGGGGGGCGGGGCATAGCGCGGCTGTGTGACGGGCACGGGGCACTCTCTGGGGAACTCTCTGGGGAACTTCTCCGACTGGATGATCTTCACGGTGTCCATGGGGATGGCGACGGGCTGAAATCTGAGGCAGGACATTCACACGTTCTTGGAGGTTGTAGAGAGAGTGACTGCAGCTCTTGTCAGCGCTGGACACCCCCCGCCTGGTTTTGGGCAAGGTGGAAAAGATTAGGCTCTTCCGGTAAAGTCAGCCATTAGAGGGAACATGGGGACGGATGGTTGCCTCCATGTTTTCCTCGGAGATCCCCCCTGGTTTGTGCGAGTTCAGCCTGTGTCTTTATGAAGCAAAGACTGATAGAAGAGCTTAGCCAGAGCACCGCAATCTGCAGCTCTTATTCTGTCACTGCTGATATGTGCAAATGATTTAACAGTCCAGTTTACAGTATCCGACCAGTGTTGACTACTTAAAGGTAGCTTATTTTGTTGTTTTCACTCACGTATGCTGATGTTGCTGTGCAGTCGTCTCTGATGGCTATTTGCAGACACATATATTCACACACAAGGACGACTTTAGCACAATGATATGTTCTCACTCAGTGATGACACTAATAAATAATCTCATATGCACACAGATGCTCACATAAATACATACAGTACAGGTTGGTGTGTTTCTGCATTCACAGCATGGTGGGGACTGAGTTCAGGCAGTACAGAAAGCTCTGAGAGCTATTGTCCCAAACTATATCCTGTGGCCTGCCTCTGACTAGCTTTTACACGTGGTTCTCGCTTCAACACTCGGTTAACTTCCTGTTTTTTGCTGCGGGTGTGTTGACTTGAGTGCGTGAGAAAGAAAGAAAACCCTCCAGTCTTTTCTCTGCTATTAGTCCAGTTTGGTCAGGTGACCTGTGTGACCCTCTCAGTGGCTTGGTTGATAAGAAACAGGGAGGAGGTTTTTTTGGGAGGTGTCCTTTAATGCTCCAGGAAGCTGTTAGAACGACTCCTTCAGGCTCCAAGGCTCCTGAATTCCTCAGATGTTGTGGTGAAGGGTTTTACTTTCAAACAGTCCTCCCAGTGATAACAGTCTGAAGGATGCGTCTGTGCTTGGCTCCCCTTTTTCAGTTAATCAGACTCATACCGTGTCCTCAGGAATCCTTCCGTCCATCCTGGGAGAAGAGTAGAGAGATTTATAAAATAAATTGCTTTGATAACTGCAAATGTCTCAAATGCCACACAGAGATCTGGAAAATTGGAAAATGTTATTAACATGCTAGGTAGAGGTGTGCCATTTCCATTGTGTTTCATGAAAAGAATATTAGCTTTGAAGTATTAGTTTGACTTTGACCTACTGCTTCTGTGTATGATTGATTTGATCTTTCACAAACTTGGAAAGGATCTATTGTAGCTGAATGAGATGAGTTTCTGATGACAGAGGCCGTCACTTTTGCATATTGGCCTCGGCCCAGGTTTCTTTCATAAAAGAGTGAGCCAATTATCAAGTTGCCACACGCCTTGTGACTCACCTCTCTTTGGAATAAACACATGCAGTTTGCCACGAAGTCAGAAGATTATGTTGATATGTGTTGTGTTTAGGCGTAACAATAACAAATGCAGCACACCGACTGCGCCTCTTATGTCTTTGATGAGTGCAACTCAGAACATTATGAATTTTTTTTAGGGCAGTTCTTAGAGGGAATTATACAGATGTTCCCAACAAAATGGCACCAGTGATTGTCCAGTACAACAGAGAGCAGCTTGACTTGTTTTATTCAGTTTAGTGAAAATTATTAGTGGTGTCCATAATTCTGCATGTGAGCTCCCAAAATAACTACATTTCGATAATGATTGGTTCAAAAATAAAGACTGTTTAAAATGCGATAGTCATTAAAGTCAGCCACAGTGTGTGGTGAGAGCAGGTGATTGTGACACATGTTGCGGTCCGGCTCTTGTTGTACTTGCTACTTCCTGTCAGCACGTCTTTAGTTGCGTCAGTGCGAGGCTAACATGTGTGGGAACAGGTTACACTCTACATTCAGGGTTTCTATCGTACTGTGTGTGGGATTATGAAAAAAGATCAAGTGTATTGATGGAGGTTTTTTTTTCCTTGACCAAAACAATAGCTGCCAACCAGCAGAGGAGGGAGGATGACACATCTTTTATTCTCTTCACGGCTGTCAACAGTGATGATTCATTAGAGAGAAAAAAGAAACTGTGCAGAGGAGGTGACCTACATGGCGATGAGGAGAGGGAGAGAGAAAGAGAGGAGGGCTGGTCTTGGTTTTCTATTTTTAGTTTGTTTATCTATGCTCTTCTCAGAGGTTTCCTGTCCCCAACCCCTGCTGAAGATTCCCCCCCGACTGAGAGAGATGTACCTTACAGGCGGAAGTGCTTCGGCTATTACTTCCACGTGATGCAACAAGCCATATTGGGCAAGCAAGCAGACATTTGTTTACCCCCTTTATCCTCTCTCAATGAATCTGTTGATATCTTCGTACACCCCTATCTTAAACACACAGAGCTGTTAGCGAGAATCACTCACAATCTCACCACATGTGTTCCTCCAGTGCTGATCTCACACGCGCAGTATGCTTCATACACGTTCTATAAAGATGGGGATGTGTTTCTGGGGAGATGATTGGTGCTTTTAAAAGATATTTATGCAAAACATTTCAGAGAAAAAATCTGAATGAATGTGTGATGGCCTTGGTGCATTTAAAAATGAACAGCAATAACTCGATCTGTATGATCAGAAAAAGACAACATTGTCATTATATCACAATGTTATAGTCTATATGGAATCCCTATATGGCAGATGACAAAAATAATCCAATTAATATTCAATGCAATGACTGTGTTCCACTGTTTCTACAAAATTCTACATAAAAAATTCAACCTATGTTGTAAATTCCCTGCACACATTCATTTAAACCTATGGAAACAAAAGAAAAACAACACACTCTAAATTAAGGCTGCATTTAAAAAAACATGTCTGTAACACGTTTAAGTACCATCACCTTTCTGATCGGATACTGTTTTCTTATTCTATGATCAGGATTTTACTGGTCTAAATCCAAGTGTTGCCCCTTTTAGACTGATTCTTGTTTCTAGTCAACATTTAATATGCATACTTTTTTTTGTCAAATCAAAAACGTTTGATTTAGAATAAATATGTTGCATGAATAAAATATCTAGTATTTTGGTATTCCTATCCTAAATAAATAACTAAAACATGATATAAGCATCCAGCTCCTTAAAAAATAGCATATCTAATAAGTATCTTATATCATATTGATGTTTTCCTAGCTGGGGTTGAATTGAAAGAGTGTTACTTGATCTTTCATTCATTTCAAACTATAAGAATTGATGGATTGAATTAGAGTTAGAATAATATACAGGAGGTACTGTACATCTGCAAAATTCGATACATCCTTAATAAGATTTCTTTAAAACTCTCCTATAGCCATATTGGTATTGGCCTCAAAAATCATCACATAGCAGTATATTAAACGTCTCGACACACTTTGTGGATATAAACAGTTTGTGTCTGTCTGGTTTTGGGCAGGGGTCGATTTGATAAGGCAAACAGTCTGCAGGAGGAGCCTTTGAGCCTGGGGGAGATGAAGCAGCTAAATCTCCCCTCTAATTTGGTGACAGTGCTATGAAAAGGGCTGATAACTGATGCAGGCCGCCTGCTGATGGGCCGGTTTGGCGCAGCCTCTCCCTAATCGACAGAGCCCTGTGATTATGTAAGAAGCTCATCTCCGACCCATCCACCATATTAACACGGTGCTGCAGCTCTTTCACAGTCCTCATATTTGTGTGTGTGTGTGTGTGTGTGTGTGTGTGTGTGTGTGTGTGTGTGTGTGTGTGTGTGTACATAACTCTGGATCCTCTCCCTGCACAGGAATTATTACACTAATGAAATCATGGCAGGCATTTGACCTCGTCATCACAAGTGAGAGGAGGAAGAGGAGAGCTGACCACAGGGATGGCCGAGGAGTTTTTCTCAGCAGCAAATTCCTCATATCATTAAACACACAAGGAGCACACACACACACACACACACACACACACACACACACACACACACACACACACACACACACACACACACACACACACACACACACACACACACACACACACACAGGATGCTGGTGGCAATAGCTGTAATCTGCGAGAGTGCAGCATATCTGACAATGCAAAAAGAGCATAATTTACTCACAAATGTTCCATTCGGCTGCGGCTGACTGGAGGCTTTTTTGAAAAACAGATCCATCATATTCAACATTGAGAACATGTATCATACTCGTTTGCACAATTCAAACAAACGAGGCTCGAAGCAAAAGTGTTAACAACGTTGCAAAGAGGTTTCATTTAGATTCATCCCCTTGGACTTTAAGAAACTTTTATGGACATTTGTCCCATTCTTTTTTTACATTTCATAGATCAAACACTATGCGTGACACTGCTCATTTTCCATATTCACCCAGAAACATGAAAGCAGCCTCCTATAAGCTCCTATCAAAGATTTACTAATTAATTGACGTTGCATAACATAGGATTTTAACAAGTTTTGCATCTATTGACCCAAAAATAATCCTCAGATCAAAGTAGAACAAAACCATGGATGTCATTTTTCAATCAATATAAAAGGGATAACTTTATATAATCAATGTAGTCTGTGGCTGCATAGTGTAATGAGGGATAATCTGAACACCAAAAAGCTGCTGTTTGAAGGATTTTAGCAGTACTTGCAGAAAACTTGCTCTTTTATCAGAAGTTTGAGGAAAACTCACAGTCGGCTATGTGCTCATACTGTAGTTGATGCAATACAAGTTCCTCAAACTCAGGTTATTTAGAGTAGGCCTATTGTTCTTATTTGTATCTGGTATGTCTAATTTCTACTAACTGAAATGATCTTCTATTTACATATTCATTTAAAAATAATTCATGGCACATCAGTATTCAAAGGTGTGAGTGACACACAAGACCTATTATTGTTCCAAAAGTTTACCTAACATGGGAAAGTCAACCGCTCTCACAACTAGCGTCAGTTAGCCTTTAAAACTAGCCTAACATTCAGTAACTACACTAATCTATAGTTACTAATTGCAGTAACGTTGCGTTTTCGTGGTATTTACGCTCTGAAAGTTTACCAGGAGTTTTATGTATTTTTGGGCTCTGTAGTCGAGAAATTAGCATGGCACCTGGCGCTGCAAGGGTGGCAAGCCTGCTAGCTACTTCAACAGAGCAGAAATACTACTCACTCTTTGAGGCTCAAATCGTCGTAATTACGTGGCACAAATTACCTGGTTTTGATGAGAGTTGGAGACTGTGTGAACCCCGTGGCTTTATGATGACTTCTGCAGGGCTGCGTGCAGCTAGTGCTATTGTAAGCTAGCTCTAGTCAGTAACCTCCACCTGTGAGAGGGAATGCAAAATATGTTGTTATCAGCTGATAATATTAAGAATGCCTCAGTCCCATTCATTGAGGGTTGCAGACAGCAAGTTATTACAGCAAAATGCATAATACAAGCGCCTCTCAGTGTAATGCAGCCATCATCCATGTTGTTAAATATATGGGCTTACCTCTGCTTTTCCTTCTATAACATGAACATAATTCTGCTGTAAGAACCAGGCTTCAAGTCTAGTTGAAAAACGTTTAGCTTCTTTGAAAATCATTGAGATTATTATGAGTTTGTGAATACATATTTAGTTTAATTATTTATTAATTATTGAAAATAATGGGGTAGGCCTACAGCTAACCCCTACTTGCAGGAATGCAAATAGTTTTTGTTTAGGAAGACCAAGAGAGCTGTTATTATGATGTATTTTGCAAATGTCAATAGACCAAAACATCACAAACATGTGAGTGTGTGGGAGGTGGCCAAGTGAACTCAGTTGGCCATGAACTAGGTTTACAGTGAAGTGAATCTTTACATTTTTCAATTTGTTTGTTGCTTAAATAATTTCCCCATTACAGTCTGAAGGGGTGAAGTGCAGTTCAGAGGGAGGAATAAGGAACTGAAGACATATGTAATTGTTGAGCTGCAAAAAGACCTGTCTCATGGACAGTGATAGCACAACGTGCCCTGAAGCTTACAGTACTTCTTTCAACAAGGAATGGTTTCTACTTCCTTGTGAGCCAGTTGTCAGCTGAGGTGCTAAGGCTGAAGGAAATGGTATGGTGCTTTTAAAGAAAATGGAGATACTTGGAATTTAAAGTTGGAATCTAACACTGGTAACAGTTGTCATGTTTTTTCAAGCAAAAACCTATGTCATTAGAATAATTTGAAATATGCTATGTCACATATTCTACAAAAAAAATGCTGGCCGTTTTTATTGGTTTTATTTGTACAAAGACAGGAAGACATCCATACTCACACAAAGTCCAACATGTATAGCCTACTTAAAAAATCCTTTCTCTCTATTTCTGTGAGCCCACTGCACAGATACAGTAATAATGGTTGGCATGTTACTTTATGGACATCACACCATCACAACACTCTTCTTGGATGGGTTTAACTTAAGCCAGAGAGCCATAGACTGAGTAACTATCCACATATTTGTTGTAATGAGGCCACTGTGCCACTAGGGGGCCACTGTGTCGTATAAACATTGTATCTTGATTTGTTGTGTTTTCCCTTCATTTAAGAAAAATGCTTTCTCCATATTTCAAAATATCTTAGAGTGGCCAGACGACATTGTCAGCAAATTGTTTGTTTTTATTCTTCTACTATCTATCAGATTAACTTTGTTAGAAATTTAAAAAGAATTCACAACATTGTGTCTTCATTACTCATCACTGTGGCTAATGATGGCCGACAGATGGAGTTTGGTCTCTATCTCTCTGTTGACTGCAGAGAGCTAGACATGCCTGAGACCTTTGACTGTGGTTTGTTGCACTTAGTCACTGGCTGGGGTGAGCAAAATCACTGCAAGACGTAGAATTCAGTCAGATATCAAGTCATATGCAGCTTCTAGAGAAAAAGGCAGTCATAGAAGAGAATACAACAGCAGAGAACAAAGCATGTAAGTCCAAGGCAGAAATCATAAATCATTTAACAGCAGTGCACATAGTCAAGGCCTACATTGGTGCACATTAACCACAGAGTTAGTGATAAGAGAGGGATAAGTGAGTGACAATGAGAACGACTTACAGTACATTAAAAAGTTATTATGTGACGTTTCAGAATGTATTCACCAAGTACATAACATGCATACCTCAGTAAGAGCAGACTTAACCAGAAAATTGAATGTGCAATAAAATAAAGTGCAAACTAGTCAATGAACCAGGAGAGGGAAGCAAAGAGAGTCAAACTGTGGAGTTCACAACCATTTCCCCTGAGATGTTTATTATTCATTAACACCTAAAACAACATATAGATGCTTTAACAAGTGACAGCATTTGTAGACTTCGAACACAGAAAATTAGAAAAAAGGTCAAATTGGCATTATGTTGAGCATGTGAACTTAAAAACACATACAAACCAGTCAATCAGTGTCTCTTAATATGTAAACCAGAAAGTTAATCAAGCCATAAAGGAGCATTTGTATTCCCAATTTAGAATTTTCAAAGTTTCCAAAATGAAAAACCTGGAAAAATGTCCAGATCTACAGTAGGTAAAGTGAAATACTTTAACAGTTTTAGACAGGAACACATTTTACAAAAATAAATATTGTGTCCTCGAGACGTTCATTTGTCATACATGACATGCATACAGTAAAAATGATCCAGTATAGAAGTCTGCCAATGCATTATCTAATGTTACAAGGTTACAGTTCATTTATGCGTTCATAATTTACAATCATATAAAATCCTATCCCTTAAATATAATTTATCCAAGAGCATTTGCGTCAATGGAGTTTCTTTAACCGTAAAAACCATGAAAGAAAACAGCGACACAAAGGAGGATGATGGCGTTGGCGTTGACGACGTTCCTCCATAGAGGCTTCTCTGTGGTGTCTGTGAGCTTCCTCTGCAGCTCCGCCTGCTCCTCTGCACTCAACTTGGGCGCATCTGTCGGCTCGAGGCCGCAGAAACTCATCACTACCTTCTTGCAGCAGCCAGGATTCTCCTTGGGCTCTGTGATGGAAAGAACAAAGGTGATGAAGCAAATCTGCATGTGTGTTTGTATGTGTTTATATTCAATGTCTGCTGATTACCATCTATCTCCATTTTGGTTGACTCTTGATTGTCGATCCAATCGTCCTTTTCAATGTCAATCCTCTCCTCAGTACAGTTCCTCAGAGTCCAGCACAGTCGATACAACTAGATAACACAACACATGGGTTGAAACAAATTATTTATAAGGTTGGTTTTTGCAGGGACTTCGAGTGATGTTTGGGAGTTATTAATTATGTATCTATTCTTATCTTGCAAGCGGTCACATACATGCTTGTCTTCGATGGGTTTGGTCACAAGAGAGATTCCCACGATGAGGATACAGGAGACAACAAACAGGATGATGGAAAAGTAGAGGTAGTGCACTCCACATATGATGGTGGGACATTTACTGGGTTCAACGCAGCTGCCTGTCCCAAAAGCAAACTCTGCAATCATTCTGGAGAGGCCGATAACTAAGCCAATCGTGAGGCCATAAAATGCACCCTGAGGAAAGAAGAAAAAGGAAAACGTTCAGTCTGAGTATTGAATAAGTATTGGCATGACTATCTAGACTCAGAGCAATGACACAATGACAAAGCTAACATGCTGATTTTATAGCAAGTGACACACTTACTCTTAGTTGAATGTGTTGCTAACAATTGTTTTATTATGACAAACATATATAAAGGTATTTGACCATAAACTAAAGATTTTGACAAAATAAAACAAATCATAACCTAATGCTGATATATGGACATGATTACATTTAATCCAGACGGGGATGTGAATGTGTTCACAAGATTGAATCTAAAGGAAAAGAAAAAGAGTGCAAAAGGAAAAGTCAGCAAAGACAGTAGGCTTCTTTCTCTGGAGACCAATTCATGTTACTACCAAATTTCATGGCAATCAATCCAGAAGTTGTTGAGTTATTTCAGTCTGGAATCAACGTATCAACTCAACTAAATGAATCCTAATGAAAAGGAATACTTTTGGGCACAGGATAGATAAAGGTGCATCCAGCATTCACATAAAACAGATTTATGAAATATACATAATGCAGATTGCAAATAGAAATCGACAAGAAATCATGGGCAGGAAGAAGAAATGAGCAGAGAAAGTAAAGCAGCAGCATAATTCAGAGTGAGCTTGTCATATTATAAAATAGTCCTCACAGGCTTGTGTTAATAGTCTGATGACAAATCTGATGATGGTGTGCATGACTTCAGTGCTTTGGCTAAGCTAATGGGACAATCGTGAGAATAAGAACCATTTCAACAGTTGGTCCATGTTCATGACACCTTTAGAGTATTTTGACCCCACCCCCACTTTTTCAGATCATATGACACATGTTGATTCAACTGCGTTAAGGTCATGATAAACCACATTTCCCAAGAAGTCCGAGAGTAGTAAAACAAAAGATGTTGCCAGAGACCTTTGGCTAATTACATAATAACTTTATAAAAGACTGCACTTTAAAACACTCAACGCCTTTTTATCCAGGCTAGAGATATGGCTCTAAGGAAAGGTCACATCTGCCGGGTTGTCCACCATTTGGTTAAACACTGAAATATCTCAAAAACTATTGAAGGGAGTGCCATGCCAATTGGTACGTTCCTGGTGCCTGAAGCATGACAAAGTTCACATTTGTGGCTTTGAGTGAAATATGAATTGTAATTGGATAAATAGAAATTAGTTTATAGATTTCTAAACAATACAACTAGTACCATTATCGGATAAAAATGTCAATTTGTTCAATATTTTGGTTTCCATTAACAATAAGCTTTATTTGTATACTGTAGCACCTTTCATTCAAGAATGTTAATCCTACGTGCTTCAGAGTGGACTGTTGTGACTATTATTATTTTGTTTTTTTGTTTCCCATTGTAAAGCGTCCTTGGGTCTCTTGAAAGGCGCTATAAAAATTTAAATTATTATTAAAATTATTATTATATTTAAATAATATCTCATAAAATAGTCACAGAAAATGACAAGACTCAGTTTCACTTTGTGTTATGTGCTAATTAGCCAGAATAAGCATGACACACGCTAATCTAAAATGGTTTACATAAACAGTTTACCTGCTTAACATCAGCATGTCGATACTGTCATTGTGAGCAAGTTAGCATGCTGACATTAGCACTCACAGCACTGCGCGCAGTTACACCTTGACAATGCTGCTAACATGGCTGTAGGCTAGTTGTCTTGTTTATATGGAGCATGCAGAAGATTATTCTTAAAATTGAAATATGTAAAAAAAAAGGAGATTGAAGTGGATACTCACAGACTCATTGACGCGTTTACAGAAGATGGCAAGCATGAAGACAGCTGCAACAGGTGGAGTGAGGTAGCTGGTGATGGACTGGATGTAGTCAAAGAGCTGACCACTCTGGGCTTCCTGCACCACGGGGATCCACGCAATGCTCACACCAATCAGGAACACGATGAACACTCTAAATCAAAGACAGTGAGGCATGTATGATATCTCTCATCATCAGAAATCATAATAAACAAACCCCCCAATTGTGTTTTACCTCCCAGCGATCATGAGTTCCTTTTCAGTGGCTGAGCTGCGGATCTTAGTGTAGATGTCCATTGTGAAGAGAGTACTGGCGCTGTTGAAGATGGAGGTGAGTGAGCTCATCAGAGAGGCCATCATCACGGACAGCATGAGACCTCGCAGACCTGAAGCAGATTAAAAAAATTCATTTCGGGAATACCGACATTTTCAGATCATAAGATAAACGTCTTTAGCCACCCACCATTGGGCATGAGTTCCACCACCAGTTTAGGATAAGCGATGTTGGTGCAGCCCACCTTGGCATCACAGTATCTTAGACATTCAATCGGGTCCACACATGCCACCTCGTCTAGAATTACATGAACAATAAGTCATTAAGACATATTTAAATCCAGATTTATGTTTGCAATACTTTCATCTTCTTGAGCCTAAATATGTCAGTCACATACTCACCAGTGTAAAGGATCCTGCTGATCATACCGGGGAAAACCATGAGAAACATAGGCAGCAGTTTCAGGTAGCCACACAAGATGCAGCCTGCCTTAACGTGAGATAAATTCTTAGCTGAGAGACAGCGCTGAACAATCACCTACAGGAACGAGAAAACACGTCACAAATGGGAAAGATCAGTGGTGCAAAGATACAATCGATAAATAGGTTGAGTAAGACGTAGATTTGAAAAAAGTCATAATGGATGGAAATAATTAGATTTAGATTCAATGAATATGCTGCTGATAGTATTTTACTTTATAGGCTGACTTCATCTCATATGTGCTCGATGTCAACATTTAAATCATCATCTACTCTTCTCTGAAATCCAGCAACAATCTGCCTGTAAATCTTATCTCAGTCTCTGAGGCTGTAAGGTCTAACTAAAAGCATGTCTCTCCTCATACAGCAGACCACCTTAAGAGCGCTCGAGTGAGCCTGGCAAAAACAGGCAAGATAAAAGCACAATAATGTGTACACAAATAGGTACAATCAATTGAAAGAGTCTCTGTCTGTGTGTGTGTTTACGACCCTTGATTGTGGTCGAGCAAATGCCCAACAGTGCGGCCTGTTTGCTGGACTGACCTGATCTGTGCACCAGTACCAGGTGGCCTGAATGGTGAGTCCAAACACAAGGCCGGGCCATGGCAGGTCTCCTGTGATCGCATTCCTAAAAATATGGAAGGAGTCGGCCCGAGGCTCGAAGCAGCTCGCACTGATGTTAGCTGTTACAGAAGGGACGGCCTCCATGTAGCGCATCTGGAATTGTTCATAACCTCCGACCTCATTGAGAGCTGCACATAGGTGTAAAATAACGTTATGAATCATTTTTACTCCAACACTCGATTTCACAAGCACGATTTTTATAGTCAAAATGGAAACTATAAACATATAAGAAGCTTAAAAACTTAAAATACCATATTACCAAAGCCCATAAGGATGAATGATCCCACAACCATGATGATAGTCTGTAAGGTGTCCGTGTAGATCACTGCAGCCAATCCACCTGAGATAAAATATTTTTTTTCAAAGTGATCACATTTTATTGTCCCTAATTGTGACTTTATGGAGAGAACTTAGTACATGATTTGATCCATTGTTGCAAATTGGTTATTAGGTGTTAAGCTGTAGTATGTAGGCACTATTCCAAGTCTTTTTACAGCTAAAGTTGAGGTGTGTATGCGTTATTACAAAACAGCAACCAGCAACCAACAGAAGGCCATTTCCAGCTTATCACAGTTGATGGGTAATTAAGCAGTAACACACAACTGATCAACGAGACAGGAAGAGAGAGCGAGTGTGTGGGTGTGTATCTACATCTCCATATAAGGTAAATGGAGAAGACTTTGCACTTGTAGCACCACTTTGTTAGGTAGATAAGAATTCTGGGTTTCATTTATGAAGTGAGTGCAATTGAAAATAAAGTGAATGCATCCTGATGGGACATACCTGTGACTGTGTACAGGGCTGTTATTGAAAGTAGCATGACAACAGCCAGGTAGATATTCAGCCCGAGAGCTTGGTTGATAAAAATGGCGCCAGAGAACATGTCTGCCTGAGTGGAGAGAAGAGGAGAGGAGAAAACGCATTATTTCAATCAATAACGTACATCTCGTTGACATAGAGATAATCACTAATGATGTGGACACTTACTGAGATCTTGGTGAAAACATACAGGAAGAGGGACAGCACAGAGAGGTAGATGCGAATTCTCTGTCCTCCAAACCTCTTCTTCAGGTATTCCGGCATGGTGACCACCTAAACACATCCATAATAAATTAGGTTTTGATTTGAGTTACTTTTTTGTTGCTGTCTTTATGACTTTCAACTGCTATTTTGCAGGGCCACTTTCAACTTAAAGAGGACATACATTTAAAGTTTGCACTTGTAGTTTTGGGTTTCCATCAAAATTGGTTTTCATACAAATGACACATTTTATGGTCTGTCAGAATATACTTGTATTTAACCTTTGAATGAAAGTCTCTGTGTTAGTGCTTGTTACTTTCAGCTCCATTTCTGATTGTCTTGCAAGAGAAATTGTAAAGGTTATTTTGTTTTCCGGAAAACCACAATAAACTTACTGGGGTTTTTATTAGTAGGCAGATACCAAAATAAATGTATTCAAAAGCACTGGAAAAGAAGGGGGTTTCATGTTAAGTCTCCTTGAATGATTAAACTGTAAATTAAGTAAATAAATACATGTTTACCATGATTATGAATGCATACTCTAACAGGTGAAGTGAATACATACGTATATGTATACAGTAAAAAAGAAAGTGTTTTGTGGCCTGTGTGTTTCGTTTACCCCAGCTTTGATGTAGATGGGCACAAAGATCCATCCCAGAATGACGACCACAATAAGAGCCTAAAAGAGACAAAAATGCACAACAATAAATAACCAATGCACCATTTCCTTCAAATATTCCTATAAAGATAAAGTTGACTTCTGTTTCCTCCCTGTATCTGCAGGGTGGACCTCCCATGATAATCTTCAGCAATCAGCTCATCTCAAAGAGATAACTGATAGTATCTGTCACAGGTTAGAAACACGTATGTTTAAGAGGAGATAATGTTACACATCAGACATTTTTACTCACATTCCATTCAAATCCACCAATAGCGATTCCTGAAGCTGCAGCAGTCCCAGCGATTCCTACAAAGTGACCACTGCCAATGTTGCTGGCAAACAGTGATGCTCCAATCTGTGGAGTGCAGAGTTATATTCATAAATCATTTACATCATTTTTTGGTTTTCAGCTAACTGTGTCTTTATTTTGAACAGTATAATTGTGCTGATGTAATGCCTGTCTGTCTGTATTTCTTTTATCATCATCTGTAATACACTTCAGGTTTGCTTTGGCTGTGAAATGTGCTACATAAATACATTGTTTTAATCTTGCCTCTGCTTGAATAATAAGTGATTTACTCCACATTACTCTATATAACATGAGGTGATATATTATAGTACATATAATATCTATATTTCATTAAACAATATAAAACATGTCAACATGAGATACCCACCGGCCACCACACCATACTCCTCCCTGCAAGGAAGAAACCACCGACTGTGGCTCGGTTGGTGCGGATCATAGCCTGCAACAGAAGAAGAACATTTAAAAAATCCTTAAAACAGCAAAAAACAGCAACAGATTCTATTTTTCAGGTATATTTGTTAATGATTACATTTTGTGTTATGTACAGCTGTTAAGAGTGAAAGAAACATATTTCTACAACTTCCCAATATCACAGTAAGTGTATAATTCTTCCTACACCTTTGTGGACATGACATTGTTATTTGTTGCATGTGAATTTGTATACTTAGAGTCTGCTGTTGGTTTTATTTGTCTTTTTAAAAATAATTAATTACATGTTTGAAATAAACTGTGAAATATAAATCTTGCTTTGCTCTTCATTAATCTATCTATAAATATGCATTCTGAAATTAAAATGTACTCTGATCGGCAATACAATTATACTGCTGTGATTGCACAATATGAACCAACTAAATTACATATAATTTACTCTTAAGTGCTGCTGTAAAGGTCTCTGCTGGTTAGAGGCCTAAAACCTCTTATTTCAGAATGCAAATAAATATATTCTTGAATTCTCCAACATGTAACAAACATTTATATATTTATGTTTTTTCTTGTGGCTTAATAAAGACATATTTATTCTTATTTAAGTAAAGCAACTCTGACAACTATAAAACTGTTGAAGTGTTTCCTATTCACTGAGAACAAGGATTTAAAGGGCAACTGAAATGAACTCACCCATACTCCAACAGCCATCACAACCACAAAGTAAATCACAATAACGGAGATATCTGCAGCATTGTTAAGAGCCACGCCGGCCGTGCCATTTCTCGCATTGCTCCTCGTTAAGGAGAACCCAAAATAATCCGTAGACATTTTGCTGAGAGGCTGACCAGAGAACAAGACTGTTGCTGGAGTCGCTCCTCTTTGACTGAATCACCTGCACAGACACTTATGTACCTTTGGCTGCCAGGCTGAGGTGTGCGTGTGTGCGTGTGCGTGTGCGTGTGCGTGTGCGTGTGCGTGTGCGTGTGCGTGTGTGTGTGTGTGTGTGTGTGTGTGTGTGTGTGTGTGTGCGTGTGTGTGTGTGTGTGTGTGTGTGTGTGTGTGTGTGTGTGTGTGTGTGTGTGTGTGTGAGAGAGAGAGAGAGAGAGCGAAAGAAAGAAAGACAGTGTGTGTAGAAAGATAAAGGGGTGGTAGTGGTAGAGTTTGCTTATCTAATAAATGACCAGATAGTGTATTTAGTTAAAATCTAGATGCTCTGATTAACCTTGCTGATACATGGCAGGGTTTTGTAGAAAAAAACATGTTTCACCTTTCAGCAAACAAAAAGAGTTGTCAATGATCAACCCACAAGTGTTTTTTTTAGACAACGGACCACATGAGCACTGCAAATATATTAAGTTCAATTTAAACGGACACAATGGCAAATATAACACCATAGCCAAAGCTCTATATTACAATTTAGAAGATTTAATTTTTTTTTTTTAAAGATAGAAAAATAACAAATTGAACCATCCAACAGTATATAAAGTAGTTCAAATGTACTCCACCTATGGCAGTGATACGTTTAAAATGCTTCTTATGTGATTAAGCAAAAATTACATCATTTATTATATTAAATAATTGTGTTCTGAAAGGGACCATTTGCCTATATATCTTTAGCTGTTTATACATTTGTGCTATAAGTGAAATATCTGATTTATGAATTTGACTACACTGATAGAGCTCCACTTACTTACACTTAAAAGACCTGAGTATTTTTTCCAAACTGCTTCCTCCTGAAGGAAATAAGATTTCTCTGGTTAACACATTTAAGCTCTTTCCGACCTCTAACTGCCCCTTCAGACTGACTTTGAAACCTCTGTTAATAAGTAAAACAGGAATATCCTATATATGTGTTGAGTAGCCTAACCAAGCAAACGTTTGCTATTTATTTAACTAACACTAGCAAGAGTAATCCAGGGAGAGGCATAAATGACTTGTAAACTTTAGAATGTAAATGTTAAGATTTATTTCGTTTAATATTTGACATTTATTTTTCTATGAACAAGGAAATATGTTCTCATTTACTGTAAGTCGCGTACAAAAGAGGACCTTAACCCTGCTTCCCACAGTGAATACTAAATATAAAACTTTTCCCTTAAAGACATGATTTTTTATTTGTGTTCATTATTAGTCTAACAGATCATGTTGGAAGGAAGGAGCTAAGGAAATGACAAGTTTCTACATTCATCATCATTTTATATATGTATGATCCCTGAAAAATAAAGGATCACTAAAAAATATATAAGTAAGTACAGTAAGAAGCCACTAGGTGTCTCTACAGTGAAACTAACCTAGGGTTCAGCCAACTACGAGCTCATACAGATATTTAGGGGTCGACTGTGGTATAAAATATATTTCTTTCAAAATGTTCGAGTATATCAACCTAAGTACTGTGCTTGGGTAAACTTGACACTTTATGCGTTATTATACTGCACTACCATTTCAAATACATACAAAATGATAAAACAAAATGAAATCAACAGATACACAACTCGTGTGTTATGGTGGATTACTTCATCATATCATTTATATTCTGTAATAGGCCAGTCTACATAATGAGTACTTTAACTTTTGATACTTTAACCATTTACTATGTTGATGCAAATATTGTATTATTATTAATTACAATTTCTAAATAATGTATCTTACTTTAAACAGTATTTGTACACTGATTTGTGCAACAGTTTGAACTCGGTAAAAGGGTTGACTTCTTCTCAAATCACAGTTGGTTCCTCACTCCTCTGTTGTCCAAATAGTCCACTCATGTTGTCTTTTTAAACCTTTTTGTGTGGACAGACTGCATGATTGACAGCTCCCATCCTGTTTTGTTACAGCATGATCATTACCTTATACAATGTAGTGACGTCACATTATCTCCAACAAAGCTCCACCCAGCTTCAACCTGACTGGAGGTGTAATCAGCCAGACGGATTGAAAACACTTATGTTTGTGTGCACATGACCTTACATATTAACAAGAAATAGAGACATTTAATGTTTTTACCATGTGTGGATGTACCCAGGTGATGGGTGCTCACCCAGGGTTACAGCAAACAGTGGATTGTGGCCTTGGCAAAAGGAAAATACAGCAAGCCAGCAATCTTGATATTTAAATGTAGGATTAACAAAGTGACTGTGATGTTAATGTTCACTGAGACAAATGTGGTTACAGGTTCAGCACCCAGAAAACACCAATTTGGTTTTAACCAAGCTGTATCTCTGTACACAACCTAAGTACCAATGACCATATAGTAAGTGCATCTTATCCTAATTATAACCTAATGTGATTAAGAGATCAATTAACTTACTTAGCCTAAAGCATTAATCGCCTAAAACCCATCAGTATGCACTCAGTAAGCAGTGATTGGATTATTGAAGGCTGTTTTATTCAATTGCATCAGGTGTACCTAGTCTTGCAGCTCTCTCTCTTCAAATCTGACTACATTTGATTTACTCTTAAATCCAGCTGTTACTGCCACAAAATCTAATTCAAACCACATTTTAAATACCAACCTACCTCCAACGTCTGTGCACTCTCACCACTTGTGTCCCAGTGTTTTAGATGGCTTTGATTCAATGAATTGATGCTTGCTGGTTTATGTATTATTATAATGCCGACATCCATGTCCAAGGCTATAGTGTTCTGTCACAGCTGATGATATGGGGGAAGAAAGGAGAAAAAAGGAAAACAATTATTCTAGTTAATGCTCTGGCATAAAGACAAATTATAATTGTAATCTGCTAATGTGCTACAAAATAAAATAAAAGCGATTTATTGTACACACAATACTCAAATTAAAATATGTATTCTTTTAGATGTGTATAATAATAATGGGTAACAGGGAGCCAAAGCTATGCAATTGTGTGTTAATCTTCCACATCATAAAGGCTTAAAAAAGAAAAAAACTACATTACAACAACCACCACAGGACTTCTTCAGAAACACCCTGGATGGTGAGGAGAGGAAGAGATGTAAGGGAGTTATATAGGAGAGTTATCAGACTGCTGCTGTTACAAATGGCTGCTTGAAACCCCTAAATGAGGACAATCAATATTAACTTGAATGAAAATCAATCACTGGAATGAGGCCAGTGCTCTGTGGGATTAAGGCTCGGTCACACTTGCTGATTTCAGTCCTGATATTAAACCCGAAAGCAGCCGTCAGACTGCTAACATCCACAGACAGGACAAGATTTTCTCAGCCTATTTGGATTTTTGTGTGGCCCAGTTTATTTATTATTATTTACTAACCCGTTTCCCAAGACAAAAATCTGATCATTAGAATTATTGTAAGTGTTTAAAACACACATCAGTATAGCAAGACCACAAACAAGCACTGCAGATTAGTGCAATACATTGATCTCTTGCAGGATCCATTCCCCGTGGTCTGCATAGTGTGGGAAAGTACATACTGTAGTTGCATTGGCAAACAGAGCAGTGAGTGTTCTGCGGTCAACACAGACACAGATCAGATCTATGATTAAGGAGACTCAGGCACATGACCTCAAAACACAGACTTATGAACAGTTATTATTTCATTAACATGGTTGGTGAGAGTTTCATATTGTGCTTTGTCCACATTTCCATCAAGTAAAACATTAGGAAACAAAGATACTAAATAGACATGATCATTGAATGTAGTTACACATTTCAATCAATCATTGGTATACAGCTAATCGATTACAGAAAATTGAACAATATTACTTCATAAACTAGGTTTTCAACAAAACCTGCTGTAAATATCTGGAAGAATCAAAAGGTGTCTGCATATCTGTTAACCTGCAGCTGGACATGTGTATGATGCTAACAGAAGTCTGTTAAGGAATTCATCAATTTATTTTTGATAAATCTTACACACACAAAAACGGCTAATAAAGATTGTAGTTGAAATAATAAATTTAAAAAAATTAACTAAATAGCCTGTATTAAGGAATATATTGACATAATGATGTTTCTTATCTACCCTACAGTAAATGCGGAATAAAGACGATTGTGGCAGAGTTCAGTTGTTGGCCAGCATAATTGATGTGCATTAGTTGAAGAGTGTAATCACAACAGCATCTCTGGGCACTGTTCCATATTCAGTATAAGAGGAACATTGTAGCCACAAGCCATGGCAAAGAATGCAGGCCTTTCACCCAGGGAGCTGTTGATGCTATAAAGGATGTTAGACGTACGGGTGAAAGAGGTGCTTCGAGGTGATCAGCTGGAACCTGCAGACAGTCCCTCTGCAGTCATTATAGCCGAGGCTCCCCTATACGTCAAAACCACAATGCACCCTCTCTCTGATCACGCTGGGTTTTTGTGAGCAGAATTGTGGGAGCTGGAACTCTGGTGTTTATCGGCCCTTTTTCAGCTCCCAGGCATGTGCTGAGTCTAAGCTTTCTCTATCTGAGGGTTACATGCAGCCACTCACCCTTAACAGTGAGGGTAAGAGAAACTGGAGGAAACAACTTCTTAGATCTGGTGACTAGCCTTTTTGACTTGTCGAACACAGGTGTAAATAGTAAAGTTGTCAATTGCTGCAAATTAGAAATTGTTGGAAATAAGTCATCAATAATGTTATTGGCCTTTCCTGCCATGAAACTATGTTAAATGCAGGATGAACAGCACACAGTCAAATCCAAACAAAAAAACAGTCTTGCTTTCATTAGTCAATATTGCAGGAGAACCGTGTATCTTTTGTGTGTAAAAAAAACTCAAGGTTCAACATGCACTATTCATTTTCACAACAGCAACTATAAGGATATGTTAGCCACAAGGTGGCACTTAGGCACAACCCTGAATAAATGGTGCATCACTGTGACGCCAGCAAAAATAAAATAAAAAAGCTGTTGCAGCACAAAATAGATTAACTTACATAACAAAAATACTCATAGATTGGACATTTAAAATAAACTATCCTGCATTTTGTATGTTTAAATGTAGGTCAGAGGTCATCTTTCAGTTG